AAAGTACAAATCAATATTTTAATGATGCGTCTGTTGTTTTGGTTAACAAAAATATTAATTATCTTTAGTCCAGTGTATTTGCCTTAGTGGGAGCAGCACACCAACCCAATGAAAACCCCTGAGATCCCAATAAGCCAAAGGGGAAAACTAATTAAACACAAAATATTTACATTATTATTTTTAAGATAGTTTAAATCATGTGCCGTTGTTTAGCTTCAGTGCAGTCTGAGAGCCTTTTTCACCATTTTCTCTCTTCCATTGCCATATGTGTCAGCACAGAAGATACCATTACTCAAATTGATGACTGCCTACTCTAAAACCAAAGATGGATTAACAATGACAATCCCAAATGTCTTTAAGTACCCGTGTTAAAGAGAGCTTGTGTCTGAATGTTCTTTAAGCTCTAGAATAACCTCAAAACTCGCTGAGATACACCCCGCAAAAAGTAAATCTCCAGAAACCACTGCGGCACAAGTTTGGAAAATGACCAGAAGACTATAAGTAACAGCTTAAGTGGTATTTATGGTATTTGGCTATCCAGAGTGACGGACTGGTTATGCAACTCTACACATATGTGCTTCTGTGTAGTCCGATTTAAAATAAATAAATAAATAAATAAAAGCACACAGCCCAATGGGGATGACCCTCCACAAAGGATAAATCCTGCTTGGTTAAGAAGTTCTTCTGAACATGTGAGGAAAGTTCAACTGATACAGGGAGAAGTGCCAAACAAATTAAGAAAAAAACCACCATGAAAAGTAGAGGTGGGAATCACCATACATCCCACGATACGATATTATCACAATACTTAACGCACGATACAATATTATTGCAATTTTTTAAAATATTTTGCGATATTCAGATTCTGTACATAAAGGTAAACTTTATCAATATTCATATCTAATATCAAAGTCTCACACTCAGTCTCTCATTTCAGTCAGTTTTACTGTTGACAAACTGAACGGTTTGTATTACAGTCTAGTCCAACTCTGAAGTCAGAGCATGTTCCATTCCACAAAAACTTTTTTTGTAACAAAATATTGATTTCTGCTGTCCCTGTATCGATACATTATTAGCAAACAAAATATCACGATACTACACAGTATCGATTTTTTCCCCCACCTCTAATGAAAAGCAGAGGTAGTGACTGCAGTGGACAGTTTTCATCTTTTTTAACATTCTCTTTTACTTTACTACAATCCTGTTCTTTGTATAATAAAGCTGTGTTCCGTCTGAAGGGAAGTCTGAAATCCTGAGTTCCCTGTCGTACTTTTCAGCTGGAACACCCCCTCAAATCGGACTTCCTACTTGTAAAGTTGGAGCGGTTCCACCAACCCCAACTTTAGTATCAACGTTGGCAAAAATGAAAGCAATAGTAAAGTAGTAGAAAAGCAGTAAAACTATAGAGCTTGTAATGTGTACTAGCGCTGTTGTGCATTTGTGGCTTACAAAATAAGCTATACACTGAATACCAACCAGACTTTATTTGTAAATGAGCAACGGTGATGTTCTGAAGTGCAAAAAACCAAAACTAAACAGAAATTTGCTGTACACCAAGTACTGCTAATGAGTGCTCTACCATACGCTATCGAGCAAAACAAATGCTCTTTTGTGACTTGACTCTGATTTTCTGAGATGAGAGCTAAGCTAAACTACCAATAACCACATGAACATGAAGACAACTATCCCACAGACCAGCTGTCTGTGACACTGCCCCGTGGTAAAAGTATAGACAGCTGCAACAAGTAGAAAACTGTCTGCAAACCTATGCCCAGAATTTGCACAGAACAATCTCACAATCATGCCAGTGTCTTTAGTTATCTTTGGAACTTGCATGTTAACAAGGCATAAGGTTTCCTTTCCCCTACATCTATATTTTTATGGTTTCATAAAAGGCTGAAGAAGCACTCAGAAAAAATAAGGTGGATTATTATCTATTGAAGGAATATATTTATACCAGTTCCATCGATCCATCACGTCTGGTGGTCAAAACCAGTCATGACATGATGAGGGTGTGTATTTCCCAAAATAAACAAAGCTCCACATTTCTTAAAGTGACGCATTCTTGATTAACTGCAAACAGGTTATCTACGAGTCAGTTCATCATACTATAATACAACGTGATGCACGGAATTCACAGCGGACGTTTGAAACTAATGGACAATGGACTCATGTTAGGAGTCCTGCACAGAGAAACCCAGCAAAAATCTACTGTGTGTGCTATTTATAAAATGTGCCATTTCAGGTCGGTCACTCAGTGTCACGCAATGCCCTCTGAGCCACAATTTTAGAAGGAAGCAGCAGTGGCATTGCAGCGTGAGAAGTTTTCTATCTAATGCAAACTGCCGGGTGACCACACAATCAAAACACAGCCCAGTGCTCAGTTCATTTCAAGCCAGTAAATGTAACACAACCAGAGTCAAACAAACACCACACAAAAATGACTCATACACACAGACTCAGACACTAATAAGATAGTCATCAAACAGCCAGAGGTGCACACAAAATCATTTCGCCTCACACCACACGGACAGGCATAATCCCATGCCTAAACACACCTTTACTGTTCACAAAGACAGGACGATTAGAGGCTCAAGTGAAATGAAGCTGAGGTGTATCTCATGTCTGAACCCATCTGTTCCTGCTCACCAAGCAGTGTGACAGCTGTGGAGATGGCACCATGCATCATTTGCACAATACAAACACAACCACATCGGTGGCTGTGTTGACAGGGTGCACCAAGTTTTAAGCTGATCACTCCCATATCAGATACTGAATCAAACAGGCGTGAATGTAAAAGAGATGCAAATAAAGCAGACAGTTAGACTCTCTGACACACCTCTGTTTGCATGTCAGCCTCGGAGCTGAAATCATAAAATATCTGCAGGGCAGCAAAGTAACTACAAAACAAAATATGCTTTGTAGGGCCATGTGCACTGCAAACACTGTGATTCCTATTAGCCAGAATGCAAGCTCACTGGAAATAAATCATAGGAACAGAAGGTGTCTTTCCTACCCCCCTCACTTCTCCTTACACAGAAATAATTTGATTATTACATTACGGGCTCAAATAATCTGTTTAGACCATGATCCTACTTATCTGTCCTCAGGTTTATTTTAGCACAAAACAGCTGGAAGAGCTACTAAAAATGACTCATTGAACTCCCTGACTGGGTAACCTTACTCTTATAATAGAAAACAAAAGAGATAGTGGGATTAGGACATAAAAACAACAAATCAGAAAACAGTTGATCACAGAGTGGAAGTGAAACAAGCTATAGAGACTCATACTGACACTCTTGTCAAGGAAAACAAAAGGATGGCCTGTCTGATTCGAATATAAGTGGAATTCCCCGAGCCTTTAACAGCACATCCTTCCTTTAGATCTCAGCACTTACTGCTTCTGGTGCAGCCACATCCTGTGGCGACCATCAGTCTGCCTCACAAAGCAGGATTAGTAGGTTAACTATCTTAGAGGTTAAACCATGCTGAACCAAAACAAGTCAAACAAAAAACGTCTAATTGTATGAGTCACCAATTCTACAGAATAAGGAAACAGAGAAACAAAACCCATTGTAAATGTTACATATCATATTGTTATTTCTCATATCTGTATTTTTATTTAAATACAAACACTGGAGTGATAAACTGTGATTTGTGCCATATTGTAATATGGTTGTAGTAATATGATTTTTTATGTATTTAGAGATAAATTAAAAAAGGCTTAAAATAAATTGCAGAAATAAAGAACTTCCTCAAATGTCTCACTGTGGGTATAAAAATAGACCGTCTCTTATCGCTGCAAAAAAAAAAAAGCAGGAAGTTGTACTGATCAGGAACTATAATAAAACTGCAGCAGTGGTGCTACTTTGATGTACACCATCCACCTAAACATCAGTGCCCCACACTAATAGCACCATCAACAGCAAAACTTTAATTTAGACATTTTTTAGCTGAAAACCCACAAATAATAGAAACTAACTAAAATACAGGGAAGAAATAAAGATTACAGACTGAAAAAGATGCAGGTCAAAACTCAATACAGCGACTCTTTCTATAGCAATTCACATATTTTCTTGATTGCTGATCCAATTCTATACAACTGCATTATTTTCACCTGTAACGCATTTACTTCTGTTCTTGGTATTGAAAAGTAAGCGTTTTACTTTGCTGTCTCTTACTTTTTGAAGCTGATTTTCCTCCCAGGGATCAATAGTGTCAATGTAATGTGTTTAACAAATAAAAGTTTACTAAATGCTTTAATTACCCAGCATTTTATTTGATAAAGGTAGACGTGAGTAGCTGCTTGTGTGAAGTCAAAGTGAAACAGTCTGGGCTGACACCAATATCTGATAACCATTTTGTAAGACTGGTTTACCAGAGTTGCCAAAGTCCGATCTGAAAGCAGATAACAAAGTCTACCAAAGTTGAGACATAAACAAGACGAGTACAACTGAAACTAACAGTCAAATCACATGAAAATAAAAACAGCAACCGAATTTCAAACACAACTTTCTTAATCACAAGCAGCATTTACAAAAAAAAAGAAAAGAAAAGAAAAGAAAAAGAAAGAAAAAAAGTCTCATCTCAAAAGTCTCATAAACAAGCTATGAATATCCACCAAGGGGGTGCAAGGCTTCTGCAAGTAAGATCAAATCTGAGATGCAAACCCCCACTAACACTCTGAGTCAACTAACTGAGAAAAAAACAAACAAAAAAAAAACACCCAATTAAAAAAAACAAGAATTTCAGCAAAGGATCTTGAGTATTTGTGGGCAAGTCAGCTCATGACCAGGCTGACTTCTGAAGACCACAGACCTGCTGCTAAAATGCAGTCTAACACTGCTGCAGTGGTATTTCAGCACTAAATACTAAATTTCTCTAGATGATATATATGATTAAAAACAAGGCATTTTTGGCTTAAAACATAAAAGATAGTGGTTATTCAGGCATACTGAAATGAAGGGTGATAAGACACAGCTGATGTCGACAGTTGTTACCTGGTAAAGCTGGTGGGGTAGGAGGGGGAACTTGAGAACCCCTCACCAGCCCTCTGGACTAATGAGTTGTTACCAATACCCTGGCCTCGGTTCCAGATCCCACCGATGGTCGTTACTGGGAGAAACAGGCTGGAAACTGGCTTCTGCTCATTCTGCAGCGGAGTATCACTGCTCAGTGTGTTCACACCAAAGTGGTAGGTCTGTCCTCCTGAAGTGCTGACCCCACAGACTGAGATGGCGTTAGTCCCAGCCATGTCTCCAGAAGCCGTGCCGCTAATTTGGCAATAACTCTGTCCTCCAGAGGTCTTCTCCTGTTTAACCACACCTGGGGTGCAGAGCTGGATGAAGTCTGCATCTTTTTCTTTTTTCACCATTGCAGACAAAGTGGTTGTAGGGGATAGTGAAGTAGTTGTGGATATGGTAGGGCTGGATAGATCTGGACTGGTCACACTGCTGCCATTAAGGGCAACAGGCACTGCCCCAGTCGTGTTACTGCTGTCAACTACAGCAGGTTTTATGTCCCTCTCGGATGTCACTCCAAGCAAAGAATCATCTGCAAGAGAAGACAAAAAAGCATCATCCCCTACATAAAAATCTGAAGGGGACCCAGAGAGGTCAAAGTCCTGCAGCAGATCCAGAGTGTTGTCACTGAACAACTTTTGGTTCACGTCCATATCTTTCCCAATGGGCTCAAAGGCATTATCAAGGTCAATTGGGTCCTGCTCTCCTTTATCCAAGGAGAAATCCTCCGTTTTCAAAGGGAAGAAGTTGGGATCTGATCCCCCAATTAGCGAATCCATGGAGGACTGGGTGATGTCTGCCATACTGGCATCCAACTGGGACAAATTTTCTGATAAGGTTTGATGACCAAAAGTCGTCTGCGTCTGAAGTAACTGCTGGTGCTGGGGTCTCTGATCTTTGGTCAATCCCCGGGGCTGTGGACTGTCGATCAACGAGCCTACGGTGGCAGTGACAGAGGCAGAGGTGAGCTCCTCAGGAAGGGTGTTGTTGTTGAGGCCGTTGGGCACCTGTCCTGGCTGCATCAAAGAGCTGGATGGAAGAACGACAGAGGCGGGAGAGGTGACAGACATGGCACTGTGAGGAGCTACTCTCAACAGACCTCCCTCCTCGGGGCTTTCAGTATAGAGCAGTTTGCTTAAATGGTCATCTCTTCTGTATGCTATCTTCTTCACTCCACCTTTATCCATCTTTAGAGGGGAGAGGAGACAGACAGCGATAAGATACAGAGTGCAAACACAGATAAATGTGCAGAAATGCTACGGAGTTCGATAATAACACATGCACTGAGCAGGTAACTGCAGTTATGTACAAGACCAGAGGAAAGTTGCCTGATCGCGCCTGATACTCAACGAACTGCAACCGCTAACTACGCTAGCTATTAGCACAATATTGACATGAATGCACACATCTCGACCTCTTATCCACTGCAATTAAAGCAAACACACACATCGCGAATTAGACTACACACTGTATGCAGAGACTGGTAAAGTTAAGACAAGTTTAAGATTTCCCAGCGGTAGCTTCTTGCTAACTGTTGACATGCTAGGTAGCAATAGGCTAATGTCGTTGACACTAATATTAGCCTTCAAGCTAACGCAGTCCTTACAACGGCTGTTTTAGCATTAACTGAACCAACTAAATGTGAATAATGTATCGTATTTACCCTTGAAATGAGTGGTTGCAGATATCTGTCCACAGGTCGCCTGTCAACATTGTTTTGGTTGATACACCCTGATTGAGTCTGCTAACATTACTCCTGTCGCGGCGTATCGTCTCTACATTCCGACATCAAATGATACAACACACCCAGCCTCGGCGTTTTTTCAGCCGCCCAAATCAATCTAGCTGTAGATTTGCATGCAAAAGGTGAGATTGGTAACTACACTGATTGCCAGCTATCCCTTAGGAAAGTAGGCGCTAACCTCTAAGAAAAACATACAAAATGGAGAACTGAAAGAGGCGGTTCCATGGCTGACCTGCTTTACTACATGCAGCCCTGCCCGCTGCTGGCCGCACCGGGGAACTGCAGCTGAAGTTCCGATTTAAACTTCCAGAAAAAAAAAACTATAAAACTGAGTCGATCAAATATAAGAAAATGGGTGCAGAACGACAGGTTTCGGTTTGTTTTTTTTGTTTGCTTGTTTTATTTACTGAATCAGAATTAGTGCCACAGTTACAGCAAAGTTCTGCTTTCTTGTACAGTTAATTATGTTTTGCGTGTGTTTGTGTGGGTGGGTGGTTTTTGGTGGAGGGTGGTATTCGTGGTTGCAAGAACATTTCCTCTCAGTTTTAAAGATTTAAAGAGTGTTTACTGGTGTGTAAACTCAGGTATGATGAAACACTGTGTTTATTAGTGTACTCCTGCAATATCTGTTCACTTTTTTGTTTTTTAAATTGAACCCATGTTTTATTTGTCCAAATGATTGAACCTGATCCAATATAATTTACACCTAACGTCAGATTGTTATAAATATTCTAGAATGCTTGGGCTTAGTAGTTAAATAAACGAATAACTCATATCTAGAGATGCAATTTCCTGGTTTAATTTGTTTACCGCCCTCTAGGGGCTAAAAAAGGGAACTATGCGTGTTAGTTTTTATTAGGTAGGTTAATAGTTAAGCTGTTATTAATGGGCGTCATCAATCAAAATATTCATGTTGAAATTTATTATGAAGCAAGAAAAAGATAGTTACCAAAAAACTAAAAGACAGTTGCTGCACTGCTTATGCAAAAAGCTGCAAAACACATATTGGCCCTAAAAAAAAAAAAAGCCGGTTCACACTTCTGCCTTTTTATGTGGAAATACAAGTGGATGAAAAGTGGGCGGGAGAAGAGGAAATCGTGTGAGGCAGGTTGTTTGTGCATGGGGACAATAATTCTGCAGAGAGGATCAGTCCTATATTATTTTCCCCTCTAAAGGCTGCACAAGAGTGCATAAATTCAATGCCTGTCAGTAAATTTGCACAGTAAAAGAGCAGCGTTTAACGAGTGAACGGGGACATTCATCACCGAGCGTACGTGTGTATTCAGATTTACAAACGAGTCTTAAATAATTTAAAAGAGATATTTTGTGCATGCAGTGCGAGCTGACCTGCTTCAAAAAAATATTTTGTCCAATCAGCCCACACCACAGATTACAATGCACGAGCTTCCAAAGCCCACAGCTGAGAATTTAATGTTACAGCTCATACAGATTTCTACTTCACGCTCAGCTGAGAGACATATTGTCTTACATTATTCATGCTGAAGTTGCATGAAATTCAATCCCTTTCAAAAGATAGAATCTAACCTGGGAGCTCTGCACGAACAGGAAATAAAGTGAAGACAGGAGGCAGGGAAATTGGCTTTAATGGGAGGATGAGTGAGATGAATAAGAAATAGGATCTATAGCACACACAGGAGGAGAGTCATCCCCAAGTACATTTTAGGGAATTAACTCCAAGTCGTTCTGTTATACAAGTCAAACATCGCCCTATCTGCACATGTGCAACTGCAAACAACCTGCCTTATACAGTAAACTACACCTTATGATGCTATTTCTTATCTATAGTGGCGTGCGCTTCAGTGTTGAGGGCGCACAAGCCTCAAAACATCAGGATATAATTTCAAATGTAAGCAGCAAAGCCCTCACATGACAGAAAAGGAGATCAGTATGCTCACTGTAGCTCTAAATCCCCACTGTTTGAATCCCACTCAGTCCCCTGCGGCTGCTTAGCAACCCCTCTCCAGCACAATATACTCCGAATTAACAGGGTAAAGCGTGACCGCTGCCTCCTCACAACCACGAGTCAAGGGTGCTCTCCCATCACCAACGCCTTCTCTCAGCACTGCAGCAATAAAAGCCGCGACTTTATTACATCGTGGATCCAAAACCAAAACAACATGAAAAGCAAACACGAGACACAAAACAGTGTGAAACGTGGCTGGGGGCTCCGTGTGATGTGGGCAGCAAGATTTATGGGATATTTCACGCACAGCGCAAACAGGCAAGTACGTTTCAACTTGGTATCACAGATTCGGGTGATTGTGAACCCTTGAATGGCCCTCTCTCCCCATTTAAATAATTTCTCCTACACACATCTTATATTATGCGCAATATATACAACAGGAGCTTGTGACCTACATAGAAATGCACATGCAGATGATGACATGCGCTGTCAATCCTTCACCTCTGCTTTGCACCTCACATTATCCAAACTCGATTTTCCACCCCAAGAAAACTTGGCTTCAGCGCAGTGTACTCTGATGACTCTACGGCAAATTCACTGAGCAGGCCTTAAGCACTATCACACGTCCCCAAAACCTCAGCCCCCCCTCTGCTGCTATATAATCCAGAATAAAATGACTCAGTAATGAGGGTTCCAACTCTATAAACCGCAGGGAGAGCGCACTAAACGGAGACTTCGTTATGATATACATGTTCAATTACCATTATAACACGTGCAGAAAAAAGTAAAAGTGTTCATTAATGCATTTCTTAATTATTATTTTTTTAATTAGTTCCTTTAGTAAAGAGATCAGTTTCACCGTGATGTCTGACCCTGGTGCTCAAAGGTTCAGTCAGAGTGCCGCTCAGATTCTAATTATTGCTCACTCAGCTCGAGTTTTCAAGCGTAACACCGGACAGGGGTGTAGTTAAGAGTGTAGATCACGCGCAGCTGTCACACACGACGAGCTTTCAAGTGACACAGCGACACCTTACCCCACCTCATCCATCTCACGGGATAAGCACGTCAGCTAAAAGTGTTAAATGTAAATTGGGACTGGACGGAGGGGGGTCGCTCCAGCAGAAGACACGAAAGAGGGGATTAATCTGTGATCTTAAAATTGCGTCACACCTCATCGCCAGCTGCACGTCGCCCGTGGCCGGATCAGAATTTCATGAAAAATTGCACAGATCCCCCCCCCCCCCCCCCCCCCCTCTCTCTCTCTCTTTCTCCAATCATCCCGCTTTGCGTCCATCAGCTGAAAATGTCATTTTCCTTTAAGATGATGTAAGACATTACTACACGGGACGATTTTTTCCCATTCTCTCTCTCTCTTGCACAGCTTGGAGCAACGTTATCTTGAGCCTGCCGTCGGTCCAAACATTTCCGCACTCAGCAGTTTGGAGAGATGGATGCGCGCAGGAATCCCATCCTCCTCATCTGTGCGAGAAACCTCCTCGCGCGTTTCAGTATCTCAGGAGCCGGGAGCGTGGCAGCAGAGCGATGAGGTGCATGCACATTTGTTTCTTTTAATTCTTTATTTGAGTTTATCTGGCTGAACTGAGGGACAAACGCAAACCAGTGACGCTCTCCACTGAAACTTGAGCGGAGATGTATTCACTTTTTTGTGCTGTGAAATTTCTGAGTGAAGTGAGTATATTACATTTATCTGGAATCAAACTAGCAAATCAACGAGGTGGATGCGTGTAATTCGACGCTGGTTAGGATAATCGATTCCATTCAAAAGAAAAAAAGAAAAGGATGCATCGTGGTGGGTAGGCACGTTTACGCACGGGGTTAAAGGATGTACTGTAGACACACCTTGGGATTGTTCTGTCATGAGATACTGGATGCGAGTGCTGCAGCTTGCATCGAGACTGTGTGTTAGCTCTGAGCGCATCGGCACCGTATGCAGCTACACCCTACACCCTGAACTTCTGGGACGTTTGCGCTCCGTGATCGAGACTCGGATTTCTTACAGGATCGGACAAAATGGCACTGAGCGAAAACTGCAAAACGCAACCCACAAAGGAGCAAGGCTCGGTGCAAAACCCTCCATCGGATGTGATTGAGCTAAACGTGGGTGGGCAGGTGTATTACACTCGTTATGGTACACTGGCAAGTTTTCCAAATTCTCTACTTGGGAAGCTGTTCTCTAACAAGAAGGGGTCCTCGAATGACTTGTCCCGGGACCTCAGAGGACGCTATTTTATAGACAGAGATGGGTTTCTGTTTCGGTATATCCTGGATTACCTTAGAGACAAGCAAGTCGTCCTCCCTGATCACTTTCCTGAAAGAGGAAGGTTGAAAAGGGAGGCGGAATACTTTCAGCTGCCAGATTTAGTCAAACTTTTGTCGTCCGAGGACTCAAAACTATTCGCAGACGACTTGTACTACAGCGATTTGGATGATGCGTCGCAGGGCAGCGACCAGAGGTATTATCCCTCTTACTCCTTTGACAGGAGGTACGGCTACATCACGGTCGCCCTCAAAGGCGTTTGCGCAGCGGGAGGCAGAGAAAATCAAAGTGATGCCAAGGCCAGAAAGTTACCGAGAATCTTCATTAGTAGCAGAATTGGCTTGGCGAAAGAAGTGTTTGGAGACGCCCTGAATGAGAACAGGGACACGGACAGACCTCCGGACCGATACACCTGCAGATTTTACCTCAAGTTCAGACACCTGGAGAGGGCGTTTGACATGCTGTCAGAGAGCGGCTTTCATATTGTGGCCTGCAATTCGTCCCTGACCACGTCCCCGATCGCTCATTACCCGGATGACAGGGTCTGGTCCAATTACGCACAGTACATCTTCTACCGTGAGTGAAGATTTATTCCCACTCTGTTCTCTTAGAAGTGCTAACAAGCTGAGCTGGAGGCTTTCTGACCTTCAGGAGTAATCATAAGGCAACCATCACCAAAGTAAAACACAAACAACCCCAAATACGAATTAAAAATAAAGAAAACAAACGATTAAACAGGAACTAATGCCCTCCCCTCTCGCCCCCTCTAATGAATCCACATCCACATGTAATGCCTATCAGGAAGGGTTTTTTTCACATGAAAAGACCATCCTGCTAGTTTGCCACACGACAGTCAGTGTGATTTGAAGATTTACAAGGGTTGCTCACACCGCCAGGAGGCACGGTCAGATTGCAGCATTATCCTTTTAAATATTTGCATCCCTTACAGTGACTGACTTAAAACATGTGTTCTGGGTCCGAGATAAGAGGCAAACCTGCCTACGGCCCTCGGAGGAGTTGAGTCACAATGCTGCT